GCCGGCAGTACCAGCTTGGTTCCACGAGTTGTAAACACTTGGATTATGGTTGTTACCCGCGCCCAGATTACTGTTTCGGTTACCATTATTGGATGCGTTGCCAGAAGTATCCTTAGATTTACTGGCCCATGCACCCCCTCCCCAGCCAGAATTGGTGTTTGGGGGATCGTCGAGGGTTGACGGATCAAGTTCAACCCATGAGCTGTTGAAAGCACCCCAATCGTCTAAAGGCACTGCGTTTCCAGGCTTGACAGACTTTCCAGTGGGGTTTGAGTCCATGAAATAGCCTCCTGGGGGAGGTGTGGGCTTGAGCTTACTCCAAGAGTTGCCTGTGCCGCCTTTATTACCACCGTCTGCGCCTGTTGTATCGTTGACTGCTCCCCAGCCTTCGTTTCCTGTCGATTGGTTGTTGTCTCCCCAAATGCCAGATTTGCCCCAGCCCGAGTTGTTCTGCTCTACTGCCTGGGTATTGTCTCCTGAATTTCCCGACGCTCCCCAGCCAGTGTTAGTCTGCTCGGCTGATTGAGTGTTGTCTCCTGTGTTGCCCCAGCCATCATCACCCCAGCCAGTGTTAGTCTGTTTGGCTGGTTGAGTATCGTCTCCCGTATTGCCCCAGCCATCATCACCCCAGCCATCACCACCCCAGCCAGTGTTAGTCTGCTCGGCTGGTTGAGTGTTGTCTTCTGTATTGCCCCAGCCATCGCCACCCGATGTCTGATTAGCACCTCCTCCAGCATTTCCAGCATCCTTGCCCTGTTTATTGCCCTTATTTTTCTTCTTTCCACCCTCTTTCTTCAGGCTCTTATTTTGCTTCTCCTGTCTACCAGACTCTTTGCCGGAAGTATCTTCAATGACAATCGGATCTGTGCTCCCCCAACCATCACCGAATATGTCGAATCCTGCTTCCCGGCCACCACCACTGTTGTCCTGTGTACCCGCCGGAGTAGCTTCATCCTTCTTCTCGCCTTCAGATTCGGCTTTCTTCTTCAGATCCCTGAAGCGTTCGATACAGTCATCCTTGCTCATGTCGACCTCCAGAGAAATGGCCTTCCAGGTTTTGTTCACAGCTTTCATACCAGTGAGCTTAGCATCCTTCTCGGTGGTCCAGCCATTGGCCGCGGCCGCCTCCTTTGCCTTTTGAGCCTCTTTTTCTTTCTCGGCTTTCTTTGCCTTCTCGGCCTCCTTTGCCTTTGCAGCTTCCTTTGCCTTTTCAGCCTCCTTAACTTTCTCGGCCTCTTTGGCCTCTTTTTCGGCCTTTGCTTTTGCTTTTGCCTCTCCCTCTTCTTTTGCCTTTTTAGCTGCTTTGTTTTTCTCCTCTTCATCTTTGGCCTGGTTTTTTTCGTTCTCCCCATTGTCTTTACTTTTCTCTTTCTTCTTCCCATCATCCCCCTGGATGACCTTGACTTTTCTCCTCAACGTCTTTTTCCACTTCTTATTCAGCCAAACTGGACCTCGTCCACAAGTCTTGCAATCAGGCGTGCACTTCTCACATCCATACTCGCCTCTTCCCTTGTGAAACTCATCCATTAACCACTCCTGTCCGCGACGACAGTCAGGGCATGTCATCTGACCATATTTCTCATGCATGTGCTTCTCCCACACGCACTCCTGGTTGCAGACTGGACAAGCCGGAACGCATTTCTCGGTAGCGGACTTTTTGACATTGCAATCTACGCAGGCGGGCGTAGCTGAGGGGGCGCTGACCTCAGGAGCGGGGGCGGGGGCGGGTTTCTTGGAGCCGGAGGACTTCTTGGATGAGATCGTAGGAGGGGGTTGTTTGGCAGGTGGTCCATCGTCCTAACATTCTATCAGCACGTACATTTAAAAAAAAAAGAGAGGGCAGGGGTGACGTACGCTCAGATTATCCTCGAATCCAGAATCAGACGAATGCCTGTTCTTCCGAGACGCGATCCTATTTGCAAATGCAGGAGAGCTGCTGATGGAAAGCAGTGAGCCACCCATGGCCCAATTCGACAGGGACAGGTTCACTCTGTTCGGTTTGCCGCGACCCGACGGCATCATGGCGGTTCTGCAGCGATTTTGTTGCGAGCTGTATGTATTTTTTTTACTTTGGTTGCTTGGACGGGGAGGAGCGATGCACAAGTGAGGTACTGTGCGATTGAGGTTCCGTATGAGAGTGTCTGAAGCGCGATGGTACGAGGTGCGTGTTGGTGATGTTATCGAGGACTCGGGTTTCGAGTCTGAGTATCGCTCCAATGTGAAAAGATACCCAGGTAGCTGGAGGCGTGAGTAGATATCACAGAGGAACCAACGCGATGTGAAGACGGGTGAGAGTGCGGGAGCGCAAAAAGCTATTACGCACTGGCTACGGTTGGTATTAGAGCTCGGAACTTGCGTGCATTGCGGAGTGAAAGAGATGATTGCGTGTGGTGGGTGCGAATGGAGGTGAATATAAATTGGTTTGTTTACCCCCTCACATATCCAGACCAGCACAGGCAGGCGCTAACGATTCCGGCAAGCGAGAATCACCTTTTGGCGGCGGCGTCGTCGTCTAACCAAAGGTGATTTCGGGATCGAATATCACGCCGGCCGTTCTCTCCGTGGAAATCTTTGTCCTTGTTACTACACCGAGTCATCTGGAGTCGGTGGTTTGCAGTGTTCGAAATGTTTATCATGACATGGGAAGTTTTCAGATCGAGGTTAACGTCACGAGTATTCGGTGGCTAGCTCTGCTCTGTTTGCAGCTTTGTGGTTCCATAGTGACGATTTTATTGATTGGCTTCTCTTCTCTATTCTTTGGAATTCTTCATACTATATTCCTAGCAGGTGTATCCGAGATCCGGCCGTGACAAGTTTACTTCAGATTCGATTTCGAACAACCCACTCCCGTGGCCTCTCTCCCAATGCAGAATTCTTTCCTCACTTCTTTCCTACCTAACATCTGCCCGTCCGTTTGGTTGGTGCCTCGAAGCATGGATTCTCTGTTCAGCACCGCTTGGGGTACGGTCTGGTCTGGACTTGGTGGCAGGCAGAGCAAAGGATTCAGACATAGTGCCCGGAAATACAGCTGACTGTTTTGAACTTTCCCTTACAACATCTCAATCAAGTTTGGAAATAGATTTTTTAACAATATCTCAATGTGATCTAATTTATTTGTACGTACTGGTTTGCTAATAATAAAGGAGCAAGTAATATGTAGATGATGTATATTGAGTTGGGAAATCACGAGGATCCCAAACGATTTTCGACTCGACACTCGACCTGTGGGAATCATCAAGTCGGTGAAGACTCGAGTGGGGCCCGTTGCCAAGCGTCCACGTGATTGGTGACCCCGCTAAAAAATCACCCACACACTCAAAAACATTCACGAAACTCGCATCAGACCAGCTCTACAAATACGCAAAATCCTCACCATTAGAATCAACCATTCTACTGGAAGACTGTCAAGATGGCCTCAAAAATCACAGTCGGTACGTAAATCAGTCGCCTACTCTCCCCATGCCCTGACCACACCTGCAATGTCTCCTGCGCAATTACTGACGATTTGCCACAGCCGGAGTGCGTACCAACGTACAACAACTCCTTCAGTACTCCCTCGAGACCAAGAAGCGCAACTTCCTCGAGACCGTCGAGCTCCAAATCGGCCTCAAGAACTATGATCCTCAGCGTGACAAGCGTTTCTCCGGAACCATTCGTCTCCCAGTCGTCCCCCGCCCCGGCATGAGCATTTGGTACGTTGCGGAGCGCACAAGGAGGGACATGGAGCGCAGGCTGACGGAGGAATAGCATTCTCGGTGACCAGCACGATATCGATCGTGCGAAGCACGGTGGTGTCGACGCCATGTCCGCCGATGACTTGAAGAAGCTCAACAAGAACAAGAAGCTTATCAAGAAGCTTGCCCGCAAGTACGATGCCTTCATCGCTTCCGACACCCTCATCAAGCAGATCCCCCGTCTCTTGGGTCCCGGTCTCTCCAAGGGTATGCATACTTCCTTCCTCTTCCTATCTGCGACTTCGGCATCTGCTAATGGATTTACAGCTGGTAAATTCCCCACCCCAGTCTCCCACAACGAGGATTTGAGCGGCAAGATCACCGAGGTCAAGTCCACCATCAAGTTCCAACTGAAGAAGGTTCTCTGCATGGGTGTCGCTGTCGGAAACGTCGAAATGACCGAGGACCAATTGATCTCCAACATCATGTTGGCCATCAACTACCTCGTGTCTCTCCTGAAGAAGGGATGGCAAAACGTTGGCAGCTTGACGATTAAGGCTTCCATGTCTCCCCCCAAGCGTGTCTACTAGATGGCGATATGGTATACACTCTTGACTGAGCTGCTGAAGGTATCGAAAGGATCTGTTGCGTAGCTTTATTAGGATCGTCTCGATGGAAATCAAGGATTTGCAGCAATCAATATCTGTACAGGATGCTTTCAGTGATATCACTTCTCATGGTGACATTCGTCGAGTACCACATAAATGATATGTATTTTGAAGTTGTGATGAAATTGGATTTTGAAGTTGTAAAGTAATTAAGATGCATCACATCCCCCGCGCAGCAGATTCGAATTCGCGCTCCCAGAGAAACGTCGACAAGCATGGAACGTGATAGATTGCGAGGATCGCGTCATCGAAGCCATCACAACGGATTGGCGGCGCAGGATATGCCTCAAGCGTGTACTGGGGGGCACGGGAGGCGGTAGATTGAGTTTCACAGCGCATTAGGAAACCATGAAAGAATCAACTGGCACAGCACAATCCATCTCAATGCTGGCGCATATCCCTCAGGGGGGAAAAAATAAAAAAGTCTTTGCAAATCAATCTCCCCTTGAACGCCAACCCCTTCCCTCACCTTCCCCCCATACACCACAGCACCCTCAGTGCCGGACCTCCACGTAATTTGTAGCGACCACCCCACAGTCAAACCTCCGATGGAATCGGCGAAGTCGGCTGGTAGGAAAGAGCGTTCACCTTTCCTCAAGGGCGCCGGGAACGGAGGAAAACCCATGTATGCCAGCTACAAGAAGCAGCGGTCAAAGAATAACCCTCAGCAAGCCACCGTAGTGGAGCGCCCATATAAGTTATAAGTATTAATTTATAACCTACTGATGTAGTGAAGAAAAGAAGAAGGGGAGAAAGTAAAGGGAAGAGAGGAAGTTTAAGTAGGGGAGAGAAAAAAAATTATTGTGGGACCGAGCTAATGGGGGGAGCTAAGGCCGGGTTGGGGTTAGAGTGTAAACGTGACCTGCGGTGGGGGCATGTGACTGACTATTAGGTAATAAGGTGAACGGGATCGACGCGGTACCGGTAGATCTCTACGTCGTCAAAGGAGAGAACTTCCTCCGACTCGGTCTGTGGATTTGGATCTTGAGCCTCGTCTCTCTCTTTCTTATCTTGTCTGATTGCTTATGCAATTCCAACTCCAACTCCAACTCCAAGTCCAAGTGCGGCTCGTTCAATCGAATCTTGCTCGAACTTTGCCTCGAAAGTTCCTGCATCTATCAATCTATCAATCTGTCGGTCTGTCGGTTTGTCGGTCTGTCGGTGTACGGTCCTCAAGCCTGGCCACTCGTGCTCCTGCACGTACGTGCACTCGCGTCTCCTAAGTTTCAACGGTCACAGCTGCAGAACACATACATACAAGCGTTTATACATTTCTACCGGCCTATCCTCCTCTTCTGAGTCGTCGGAACTGGCATGCATGCAGGCATGCCGCAGTATCACTTTACAGCCGTCACGTTCGGCGTCAAAGAGTTTCTAGCTCGCTCGTGCTTTCAGAAGTAGCCCTTTGTCCACGCGCTTTTCTCTCCAGTAGCGGATATGGAAAATGGACCATGGACCATGGACCATGAACGGGCGAGCAAAGGGTCAAAGACTTGGAACCGGCCTGGGTGGGGTTCTGCGAGCGTCAACTTGGTCCGCTTTCGCCCCCATCCAGCCCGAGACCATGACGCCCTCACCCCTTATCCATCACTCATCGCTCATCACCAAGATGGGATAACTAGCAAATGTTCTTTTACCATGCACCAACATGCATGATATAGCGAGCGTGTTCATTTTTATATAATCGCTTCTTGTCCTTACCTGCTCTTTCTTAAAAATCTTGGCTGGTGGTATTCTTCCACTTTCTTTCTTTGGATAGTCGGCCAGTCTCATGTTATGAACCCTTGACGGGATCTATCTCTACGACCTCTTCCTCGTTATGTCTCCTGGCAACGGTCAGATGCCACTTGTGGCTCCCTCTTTATCGAGAGAGAGCAAGGTGACCATCGAGCATCAACATAGTGTTGACCTCGCTTCGAGTCCGCCATACCCAGCTGCGAGTCCAATCTCCCCCAGGATCTCCAAACATCCTCATGAGAAGCAAATTCGCTATCCAGGAGGCGATCTTCTTCCAGTCGAGGAGTCAGCTGAAGCGCGGCTAGAGCGGCTCGGAAGACAGAGACCGGAAGTTTTCGACTCGGTATGGGCTGAAGTTGGATTTGTCTTCTCGATATCCATGTCACAGGTTCTCACGGTAAAATCCCCTCTTCTGATATCCGAGCGAGTGCTGACCTAAGCAGGAGTACTTTGTCTCCGGGTTCACAGTCATCCTGCCAACTGTAGTTCAGGACTTGAACATCACAGTTGCCTCGTCGACATGGCCTGCAAGTGCCTTTTCTCTAGCAGTTGCCAGCTTTCTCTTGATTTTTGGCCGACTAGCCGACATGTATGGAGGCTTTCCGGTCTATGTTGCCGGCTTCACTTGGTTGACCCTGTGGAGCCTGATTGCTGGCTTCGCTACGAACGACACCATGTTGAACTTCTGTCGGGCATTGCAAGGGCTCGGGCCCGCGGCCTACCTGCCATCCTCGATGATGATCCTCGGTACAATCTATCGTCCAGGTCCAAGGAAAAACCTCGTCTTCAGCATCTACGGAGCTTGCGCTGCAGGTGGCTTTTTCGTCGGCATCTTCTTCGCAGGCCTCACAGCAGAATACACCACGTGGGGCTGGTACTTCTGGATCGGTACTGTCCTCTCAGCCATCACAGCAGTAACTTCCTACATCACCATCCCCTCCGACATGGCCGAAAAGCGCAACTCTCCCGTGAAAGTCAAGATGGACTGGCTAGGAGCAGTAATTATAGCCTGCGGCCTCATCCTCTTCACATACGCCATCATCGACAGCTCGCACGCTCCCCAGAAATGGAAGACACCGTACATCTACGCCCTCTTCATCATCGGATCTCTCCTGCTCATAGCTGGCGCGTACGTCGAAGCCTTCATTGCCAAAGAACCGCTTCTACCAGCCTCCCTCTTCAAAGTCCCATGCATGCCCGCCTTAGTCGTCGCATTATTCTTCACCTACGGTTCCCTCGGTGTCTTCCTCCTGTACGCAACATTCTACATGGAAAAAGTGATGGGCGCCTCCCCCCTCCAGGTCGTCGCCTGGTACGTGCCAATGGCTCTGGGAGGATGTCTCATAGCCACCTTTGGCGGGTTCATCATGCACCTCGTCCCCGGCACCGCCCTTGTCACCATGTCCGGCGTGTCCTGGATTATCGCCCCCCTCCTCCTCGCCATCGCCCCCCAAGGCGCAAATTATTGGGCATACATATTCCCGTCCATGATCTGTGCCACGATGGGCATCGACATCACATTCAACGTCGCTAATATCTTCATCACCACCTCTCTCCCCAGGAAGCAGCAAGGGCTGGCCGGATCGGTCATCATGCTGCTGCTGCATCTGGGCATCGCGGTGTGCTTGGGCTTCGCCGACATTGTCAACACGTACACGGTCGAGCGGCTGGGCATGAGGGAGAGTTACCAGGCGGTGTTCTGGTTCGAGGTTGCGTGCGCGGGAGCCGCGTTGCTGATCCTGGTGTTTTTTGTGCAGATTAGCAAGGCGGGGAGTGAGTTGACTGTGGACGAGAGGCAGGAGATGGAGAGGGAGAGGGAGAGGGAGAGTGATGCTGTTTATGGTGCGGAAGAGAAGAAGGAGGAGAGCAGGCTCGGAACTCCGCAGTGATGTGTTTGAGGCAAGGCAAGGCAAGGCAAGGCTTGAATGTTGCGCATTTTGAGGAAGAAGAAAAATAGACCATGTGCGAGACTGGGAGTTGATATAGAGAGATACCCAATGATGAATGAGAGGTAGTCTGCTACAGCTCTATGATTTGTAGGCCTGTACAGATAGATCTGTGAGAGTGTGTTTTCTCCCTGCTTCAACTTGTCTTTTTTACCCTTTTTTTTATTTCTTTCCCTCTCTCTCTCTCTCAGCATAGCCTACCCATACCTCCACGCATACATACTACACACCAACCAGCCCCCCTCCCCCCACCTCTTCCCCTCAGCCGCAGGTGACCCAAAGCCCTCTCTCTCTCGCAATCTCTAGCAATCCATCGAGCACACCGCAAACCCCCACACTTTCTTTTTTCCATTGTCCCTTTCTCTTTCTTTCTTTCTCTTTCTCTTTCTTTCTCTGTCTCTTTCATCCCGCGCCGGTGCAGGTGCAGGCGCAGATTGCAGTCGTGTGTCTGTCTGTCTCTGTCTGTCTCTTTTTCTTTTCCGCTAGGAGCGCCGGGAGCGCTAGGAGAATTTGGAATTGGGTTTGGAATTGGGTTTGCAGGTTTGGGTTTTGGGATTGGGTTTGGATTTGGATTTGGATGAGGGTTTGGGATCGGGAGTGGGATTGGATTGGATTGGGTTTGGGATTGGGTTTGGGTTTGCAGGTTTTTTTTTTTTTAAGAAAAAAAAAAGTAGAAAGTACTACGTAGAAAGTACGTAGTAGAAAGTTGGAGGGGGAGAGGAGGTGGGGGAGAGGGGAAGGGAGGGGGAAGGGAAAGATGAGGTACATGTTGATTGATTGATTTGATTTGATTTGATTGATTGAGAGATTGGCATCCGCGCGCGGGTCTGCGCTGGAGCTGGGTAGCGGGTAGGTAGGTAGTATGTAGGTAGGTATGTAGGTATGTAAGTATGTAGGTAGGTAAGTAGCTGGGCGAGCAGATTGGCTTGGGATGGAGTGGGATTGTTGGGGATTATTGAGATTAGATAAATGACGCGGTTGAGGTTGAGGTCGGTGAGGTCGAATTTGAGATGTGTGTTTGGGGGGGTTTGGATGGCTTGGATGGGGAAGGGCGATGGAGAGGTGGCTGAGGGAGGGAGTAGTAGGAGGAGGAGGAGGAGGAGGAGTATTCTTTCAAAGGTCAGCCGCCGTCGAGTCCTGTGACCCTCCTCCCGAAAGGGTATCTATGTATGTATATATATAAACGTGTGCAGCTAGCTAGCTTTCTAGCTTTCTAAATACATACATAGATGGAAACTCTGGAAGAGACGAGATGCGTGTAGAGAAAGAGAGAGAGAGAGAGAGAGAGAGCATAAGAGCAGCAAATCGAGAGTCGAACCGTTCAAGCCAGTACGGAACAGCAGCGTTGTCGTTTCTTCCTGGTGAAGACAGTGTTTGCGTAAGGAATAAGGAACAAAGAATAAATAAAGCAGCTCTCGAGCGACTAGGTAGTTAGTTTGCAAAGGGGATAGAGAGAGACCGAAGTCGGTAAGTGTCAGTCAGTAAGTAGTGATTTGCTCTGCTCGAGCAGAGTGAGCAGGCCAGGCCAGGCCAGGCACGCGCAAAAGTGACCTACTTCTTTTCTCTTTTCTCCCCCCCGTGACAGAGCGAGCAACTAACTCACTCAGGAGGCTCGCTTAAGGGAAAGTGAAAAGTACAAAAGCGAGCAGATAAACAAATAGAGAACTCCAAGAATCACCACCCTATTGTACATGCCTACTTGCGATGGCTTAGGGCGTATCGATCTCGTACATCGGTACGCTATCGAGACGGGATAGTTCAATCCTATCCTACCCTAGAATCTAAGACGGCGGGTTTTGGAACCGAACTAGCTCACTCCGTGATAGATAGACTTCCAGGAAAGCCTAGAAATAGAAATCGGTTGGTTGGCGAGGCTTCGAGGGGAGGGAGCGCAGGTAGGTAGGGAAGGTAGGTAGGTTAGGTCAGCGCCTCTCTCTCGTTCTCTCGTGATTTAGAAGGCGGAAAGAAGAGGTTGTTGGATATCTCTAGGCTATCGATTTGAATGATCGAATGATCGTCAAGCCCTTTCTTTTGCAAGCCCTTTTGCCAAAGGATGACGACGGGCACCGAGGGTTTTCGTCTTGAAGGCAAGAGTAGGTAGGTTGCTTTAGCTAGTGTCTCCGTGGGCAGTCACTTGCTTGCGGTGGTTACCAAGAGAAATCTCCGTGAAGAGTGCGGATGGCGAGGAGTTAGTCTATATATGAAGGAGTCGATCGAATAGCGTGCTCTAAAGCCTTCCATGCTCCGATTGCCTCCGCGTCGAAAACGTGGGATTGGTTATTGACCGCGACTTTACCAGTGGCGGGCGACCTTTGCTTGTCCTTTGTAGATGGCGCATCCGTAGCCGACATGCTTGTGCCCATCCTTATACTGCTCTGACCCGTTTGGAAAGAGGGTTACGTCGCGATCGGTGAGCTTGTTCCACCACTCTGTGAAGGCCTTGGCTGCCACTTAAGGAAAGCTGGCCCACCAGCACCTTCTGGTCAGTTTCGAGGATGAAAAGAACTCCGTACAGCTCGCTTCTCATCTTTTCCATCGCTTAGAGGCCTCTCCGGCACTCCCGTTTGGTAGCGTCGTATTTGGTCTCGGCAAGGGTCCAAAGGCCGCTCTCAAACCTCGCTGGATGACGCTTCTTTTCGACGTCCTCTTGTTGCAGGACTGCTCCTCATACTCTCAGGCAGGCGTCCACTGTGAGTATGATTTTATCTTCTTCGGGTCCGTAGTCAACTTTGATCAAGGCAGGCGCCGAGAGCAAGGCCTCCTTGAGCAATTGCATTGCCTTTTGTTGGGATTCCATTTTGACTCCTTTTTTCATTGTAGCGTAGATCGAGGCCGCAATAGTAGAGAAGTTTTTGATCCAGATCCTAGAGTACATCGCGATTCCGATGAAAGCGCAAGCTTCGGTAATATCATCGCACCTGGTCCACTCGAGGATTTTCTCTATTTTGGCTTTTTGAGCGTGGCGACCTTCGCTATCGGTTACGAATCCAACGATATTCAGACCTGGCATGCAGTATTGGGACTGAGTTCCAACGGTAGTACTAGCTCTTTCCAATCAAACTATTACCCTGTCAATATTCTGAATGTGTTCCAATACGAAGCGTCGGATTCCAGGCAAAACTTCCTCGTAGCTGTAAAAAGGCTTGGACCCTTTGACTCTAACGTCGTCCATATAAGGAAGGCACACGTCAGGAAATATCTACAAGGATCTTGTAGATGACTCTCACGAACTAAGCGATGGAACTGGTGGCTCTTATAGGTATCCGAGTCATCCGAAAAAGTCAGACTGGAGTTTGAATTGCGATCATATCCCTGGATTCTGCGTCCAAGAGGAATAAATCGTAGCTTAAAAGTGAGACCTCACGACGAGATATAATCGCAGCGAGGTACAGTTACCACGGGAGATCACACCGCGGGACGAGATAGATCTGCTGGACTAGACATACTCAAGTAAGTATGAAGAGGTACGTACGTACATAGTCCCGGAGAGAAAATCATAGGACTGCTTGTAAGATGGAAACAGGGCTCTGCGCATCGGCTCGCTCGCAGACGCAGTCGTCAAAGACTTCATTCGTCCCTCTCCGCCATCACCGCTGTCTCAACCCCTTCCCTCTGTCCACTCAGTCCCTCTACCCTTTCATACCATCCATCTCATCACCCGCATCATGAGCTCGCATTGCTCATGATCTTGAAATGTTGTCGGTGGCCTGCGGTACTCTTGGTGTAAGCCGCAGGAGCTTTCCGTTGTTCCGTCCGGGCATAACGAGAGCTATTCATCATTGCTTTGCTCGCTATCCTTAAGGGAACATTGCGGTGCCCCTGGTATAAGCCGCAAGCGCTTTGCGAGCCTCTTTGCGACGGAGGCTTGCTCTAGCAGTTCCATCTCGGGGTATAATCTTCCGTGGTAATTATACCTCGTTGCAGGCCTCGTCGTAAGGTCTCAGCTTTCTTTACTGGTCCCTTTCCGAACGGAGACATACCAGTTTCCTTATCCTGCTTCTGTCACTGGAGACTGAATTTAATATGTTGGTGGTTATCATCGAAGAAAGAAAGGACCGAACATATCGCCATCCTTGTAAAAGAGTAGCGCGTCCAGGTTGTATCAGGGGGGGTTTTTTTTTTTCAGGCACACGTGCTACCACTCTACCAGGTTTTTTCCAGCCGGTACGTGTTGCCAGGCTTCACTTATTGCGGCCATTATCTCCGCGAAGGAGTCTATTCCAGATACGCGTCGGTCTCTATATATGTATATAGCGAGCTAAAGGACCCAGTTTGTATACGTACGCAGAATAGCGGCAGCCGCCGTAGGGCACATTCGTGTGATCCCTTTCTTCGACCACGGCCTACAAGAGAGATCTGCCATCTGCTCTCTGCCACCTGCTCGTCGCTTCGATCCGGAATGCGGCTATACCCCTCAGCAGCCGCGGGTTTTGCTTCTGGACATGCTGACAGGTGCATGATATAGCAACTGTTTCAAAGCGCTGGCTACTTGTCTTCTTAGCACCAGCTTTAGAAATGGCTGCGGAGGATGAGGGAAATCTATCTTAGCTATCGAGAATACTGGTGAGTGTATGCAGTCTCTTCGCTCAGCCTTTAAAACTGATACTCAGAGTCCATTGGGTGCTTAAGCAAAACATTCAGAAGCAGCAGGGTACCTTTCTTGTACCGTTTTTCCCAGCGTGTTGTAGTGGCTCAAAGCTGTTTGTTCTCTTGCATACCAGTGCGGGAGATTCTTGCCTTGTAATAGGAGGATATCATCCACGATGAAAAGATCGCAAGTTGCGGATCTGCAGAAGTTTTATAGCATCATGCTTTCCTTGTTGACTTCTTTTCGCTTCGGCACACTTCAGATACTGGTCAGATCCAGCGACAATGCGATCTCTTCAACTCCGATACCTGTCTCCAAGACTTGCGCACTTCGTCTAGCAGGTCGAATCTCCTATCCCCAAGATCATCCGATCTGGTAACAGTCTCTAGACTACATGACATAGCATTATAGAATACCGCCGGCTGGCAGGTCGGTCCTCTTGTGGCACGAGATGGCATGGAAAATACTTGACTGGAGAGTACTAGTGAGAGCCTGCTCATTACCCGAGTTCCTTCATGAGTTCTCATCCCGACTTCTATCAAATTTTTTTTTGTAGCGATCTAATTCGTCAAGCTTAGGCCCGAGCTAGCGACGATTTCAAAATCGATTTTCCGTATAATCCAGCGCCTTGGAGATGCATACGACAGGCTGCTCGTGATTAGCATTGCCAAGGCATTGATGGATATACGGACTACGGAGTTCGATTCTCCATCTCGGCGAGGAGTTTGTTTCGAAGGGCTCTTGTCATGCCTCTACTCGGACTCCGTAAACATTTTTTTTTTAATTCCGTCCTTGAGAGTTTGGAGTCTGTAACATGCATGTGCAGACAGTACTTATCCGCAAAACCTTGGGTTGGCGGATCAGGTTCGCCTATCGCATACGGCATGTTCGGACGTAGAGCCGACCGGATCAAGCTTCGAAATACGGAATAACGGCGAGGCGAAAGAAGGTGGTGAAAGACAATCGTGCTTCCGGCTCTGATTTTCAATGCCCCGATGCCATGCCCTGGTATACTTTTACCCTGGGAAGTAACGCGCTGATTCCGACGGAGGACCCCCATTATTTATGCTGTACATGTACTACTACGTACTACGTACCACGGTACAGGCCTAAGTATTACCCCTCGAGGGTGCCTTAAAAGTTTAGTTTCCACTTTAAACCCCCTGTTTTCCCTACCCTCGAGGGGTAATACTTACGCCTGCGACGTAGTATGTCCTGCTCTGCATACTACGTAGTATATTTCCTACTCCATAGAACTAGTGGACTTTCCTTAAGTACACGCTCGATGCCTCAATCAAGATCAGATATCTCTCGCTAGCCAGGGACGTTAGCATATACCTATCCAACTTCCATTGGAATCCGCCTTAACAATCTTCACTTGATTGAAGTCAGGAGATACACACTACTTTCTCTGTCTTGCAAGATATACAGGCATGTACTCTATGCATGCAGTCTTCTCTTCCGCTTGCTCTTCATACTAAGTTGTCTACGGACTTTTATCAATCGATTTAGACTTTGCCCATTCATGCAAAGGAGGAAACCCGTTTTGCTTGACCTTTTCAGACTTTGCCCTGCAGCGAAGACTGCAACATCATACTACGTATTACCGCTTGCAACTAGGCCGACAGACTATTTGAAAGACGAGATGCCAGATCTTGTCAAGTTGCACCGGCGACAACCTCTCGGCCAAGCATCACCAGCTCAAGTCAAACTCTAACCATCTCTACGTCGAGTGTTTGATAAGACCCTTGATCGTGCATGCACCAAACCTGTGTCTATTACCGTCACCCCCACGCGCATCGTGAAGTACTACGTACTAGGTAGTAGTACTATACTTGGTAGTACAAAGTTCTCACTCGGTTTGCAATGATGGGTCGACGACTTTTTCTCCCCTGCTTCCAGCGTCCACCATCCAGCGTCCAGGGTCCGCTGCTCCATACTACCATATCCGTAAGACGGGGAGACATGAACCACGATTGTACACATCCGCACATTCCTCTTCTCCTACGACGTATCAGATCTCTTCAGCACCCAATTGCACCCCGCGGAGATGGACAGATGGAGGACGAGATCCGAAGTCGGGTTTCCATAGTGGTTCGGAGGCCTTCAGAGGCCCGCTCCGCTGCGCGCAACCGCCTTGATGTAAGCCTCCCCTCTCCTCCTCAGACCCTTGGCCGCCATCGATATCGAAAACTTCATCGCAACTTACCTCTCTACTTCGTATTCCCACTTCTCATGACTCAATTGATCGAGATAAGCGTCCAGTCGGCTGCCGTACGGAGTCTCGTACTGTATCATCATAAAACCCCCACCAAGCACACGATGCGTCGCCCCCAAAGACGTCCGACCCTGTTATTACTACGTACGTCCGGCACTTGCAATAAATATGCAAGAGTCCCCCAGCCGTGGAGCTGATATCTCGGCCACCTCTATAACGGGTCGAGTAACGTTGCAAGCGCCTGCAACTGTATCTCCTGCATATCATCAGCCAGCCGGCTAGCGGTCCGTCTACCTACCTACTCCCTCTCACACTCCACCACGATCAAGTTGTCCTATACGCCGAGAAAGACACCGTCGATTCGCACGTTCACCCAACGGGCCTCTTGCGCTGCAGAACGCCTCTTCTTCTCTATGCGTCCATCATCCCAACTAGAATCTTGGGCCGTTTGTGATACATCTGATATCACAAGCTGCTCTCTGCTCTCTAGACCAGACACGCCCTGTCTGGTCTCCGTATCTCAGCAACACCCACAGTTGCCGTACCTACCCCAGCTCGAGCCGCCGTTCCGTTCTCCAGTCTCGCTCTGCCCTCCCCCATCACACCTCGCGTCGCACAACATATCCTGTTGAAAGCTTGTTTCCGTCCGCCGATAATCATCACCCACTCCCCTCCGTATGCAGCGTCGCGCGTACGACCAGACCATGCATGCACGTCGTCCAGCCCGGCCCGGTATGGTTTTGCAAACAAACACCCCGATCAAGAGAAGCGAGCCAGCCGGGTGGCGGAGGCCGCGGTATACTGACGCAGTAGAGATATCGTGACAGAGTAAAGTATCCCGGTACCCAGTAAACAACATCTACTCCGTACGTAGGTATCCTGCTGCTGCAGCACAGCTTCCTTTTGCCCCCCTCCCCCCACCCCCTCTTCTATCACACACAAAGCCAAGAAGAAAAAAGAAAAAAAAAGTAAAAGAAAAAGAAAAAAAAAAAGCGAAAAAAAATAATAAATTCTTGGTAAACATCCCCCCCTCCATACTTCCATACTTCCATACTGCCATACTCCCATCCTCCCATCCTCCATACATCCAAATTTCTAGTTAGCAAGCAAGCAAGCAAGCAAGCAAGCAAAGAAAGAGAGCAAGAGAGCTAGGCGACTCACCTCACCTCACCATGAACGAATGACACACGGCCCCCTTTCCAATCCCGCTTCCCAGGCACGGGAAGTAGATATTCCCCTCGTAGATTTACCTAAACAGACAGACAGACAGACAGACAGACAGATAGATAGACAGATCGATAGACAGATCGATACATCCACAGTAGAACACCCACCCACCGCAACGCAAAACGCAGAACGCGAACGAGCCGCACCTCCAACCTCCGAGCGGGAGACCCACCCAGGGATTTTCCTCGTCCCGGAACCGGACCTGCACCGGACTAGGTAGGTGAACACGAGGACGGACGAGGCGAGATGCACTCGCCAGAGGGCTGGAGGCCTCCTCCGCGAGGGAAGAGATGAAGAAGGAGGAGGAATGGGATAGGAGAGGAGTGTATGGCGTCGGTTGTTTTTTTTTCGGGGTCGGGTATTTACCTAGCTACCTACCTACCTACCTATCGATTCGAATCGAATACTCGGTATACCTAGCCCACTTGCGACTGTAGTGTAGTGTAGAGTAGAGTAGTGACTGTTCGGTCTGCTCCAGAGCCCGCACGATAGATGGATATATGGATATATGGATGGATGGATGGATGGATGGATGCACCTGCTGTGGGTAGTGCAGGACCCCTACGGAGGAGGGAGGGACAGACGTGAATGAGGGGGCGTGTGCCTGCTAGCTGCACTGCTGGGTAAGTACCCTCGCTCTTACTCGATGCGGGCGGACGGGCGAGGGAGTTGGATCTTTGGTTGACGTTGGGAGTTCTGTGCTGTGAGAGAGGGCTCGTGGGCTTTGAAATTCGACGGGGAAATGGGGGGGGGGGGGGGGGGAGGGACGGATGGTCGTCGTGGATGGTGATTGGGTTGTAGGCGGCACTGTCGCGCAAGGGATTGGTTTACTCTGTGGAGAGATGGATAGAGAGGAGTTTCCTCCGTAAGGGGCGAGGAGAGGAAGAGAGGAGAAGAGAGAGCTAGAGAAGATGTATTGGTGTAGGTGGGTATGTGTATGTGTATTTACATCTTGTCATGTGTAGAGAAGATGTATGTATGTATGTATGTATGTTTACACAGATAGATAATATCCTATCCGTTTGCCTTTCAGAAAGATGTATATACCGGTATATATATCTTCTCCTTTGACCTGCAACATTCAACCACAAAACAAAAAACAGTAACGACCAACGAAATATGTGTATATATATGCATCATGTACCCAATCCCTCGTTTTTCTAACGAAAAAGAAAGAGAAAGAAAAAAAAAAAAAAACGTTCGCACATATATCCACAAGACACCCGAAGATTTTATCCCCAATCCATAAATACAGATCAAGTTTCCCTCCCCTCCTCTCTTCTCCTTTCTCTATTTTCTTCCTTCCTTCCTCATCTTCCCAGCTGTACACCCAAGCAGGGGAGAGAAAAGAACAGAAAAGCAAAAGAAGAGAAGGTATAGAAACACAAACACCCCTCAGTTTCACATCCAAAACCAAGCCCAAACCCAGCCTGGTACCAATACCAATACCGATACCAGTAAACCAATCGTATCTCTTAAACCCCCCGACCATTCCCCCCACCCCCAACTCCCCCAACCCCCAAAATTCCAAAAGAGAGTGTGAAAGAAAAGAGGGGGGGAGCAGAAGAGACAAACCCCGTCGTTCATTCAATCAAGCCCTCCCCCCCCTAAAGCGATCAACCAGCCGCCCCGTTTTTACCTTGCTCCTGACCTGACCGAACCCCAAGGAGAGTTTCTTTTTCTTTCTTTTAAGAAAAAAACAATAGACTAGAAATTTGATGTAAGATGGTGTGGTTTGGTGTGGTAAGGTAGTGGTATGGTGTGGTATATACAGTCCCCGCCGGTTGATGTTGGAGGAGGATAAGAATGGTGGGGGAAAGAAGACGCGGAGGTAGGTGCGTGCGTGGGTGCGTGTAGAACGGTACGGTACAGGTCGAAGTGAAGAGGAGAGGAGCGGCGAGATGAGGTGAGGTGAAGCGTAGCGCGGCGTAGAGTAGCGAGGGAGTGAGGATAGAGGTGTATTTGTGTATATGTGGGTGCGTATGCGTATGCGTATGCGTGTGTATGTGTGTGTGTGTGTGTGTGTGTAAAGGCCGTATCTCGTAATGTGTGACTGAAAAACGTCGTCGTCGTCGGTCAAGTGGCAAACGTCGTCGTCGTCGTCGTCGTCGGTCATACAAGTGTATCGCGGCATAGAATCCAGCCGTCGCTCGGATATCGTAAGGGCATGTCGCAATGGGGGTCTCGATCGGCTCGGGGATATCTCGAACAGCCAAAGTTGTTGGCATGTTGTATATCATAATCGCTCGCGATCGCGCGCGCGCGCGCGAGAGAGTGGTCGGGGTTTCCATCCGTCTTCATCATCATCATCATCGTCATCATCATCATCGTCACGTCGCCAGGAAATCCATGTCCATCCCTTTGGCGATCGCCTGCCAGTCCCAGCTGCGCTCATCCCGCGCGTCCATCAGCCGCCACACCTCCTCCAGCACCAGCAGCGCCGTGTCCGTGTTCCGGTACTCCATGTACTGCTTGACGGTCCGGATAGCCGCGCGGATCGGCTCGCGCTGCCCCTCCTCGAAACACGCGCAGCCGATCACGAACGCCGGGGCCAGGATCAGCGTCTGGCTCGGGTCGCGCGGGCCGAAGCTGGCGAGGAGCTCGATGCCGGCGTTGACGGCCGACGTGATGCGCTCGTCGGGCTTCCAGCCCGTGATCTGCGGCGGGAAGACGCTCCGCCAGAGGTAGATCCACATCATCTGGCGGTACAGCAGGCCGGCGTTGTCGCGGGCGTCGCCGGCGGGCCAGGCGGGCGTCCATTCGCGGATGCCGGCGTCGATCTCGGCGGCGGCGTGCAGGCTCGCGTAGTCGAGGACCGGCTCGATGCCGTGGTCGAGGTTGTGCCGGATCTGGTTCCGGATGTTGGTGATCTTGGACATGTAGAGGAAGAGGCCGTCGAAGACGCCGAGCATGCGCACCGCCGACGGCTGCACCATCGTGGAGGGCAGGTTGAAGTCGTCGGGGAAGGCGTCCTGCTGCCCGCTGTCGCCCGGGTAGTGGATCAGCTGGTCGCACTGGATGTGGTACTGGAAGAACTCGTGGATGAACTTCATGGGCTCGCCTTCGTCGGGGGGGTTCTCCTCGATCAGGCGCTGGTAGTGCTCGAGGTGGATGCGGTGCTGGCCCGTCGGTTCCGGGTTGGAGAGCGTTTCGAGCACGAGACAGAGCATCTGGGCGTACAGGGCCGGGGAGGGGGCCTTGGGCGTGCCGGCCGACTGGGCATCGGCTTGAGAACCGAGCATCTTGTTGATGGCGGCTTGCTGATGGAACAGGGAGCGTTCCTCCAGTGCTTGGACGTCGACGGATGGATGGTCGGCTAAGATTTGCCGACCATACGAGGAGCTGTAGTCGATGTGTTTGCTCGACAGCGCCAGGATCGAGTGCATCAGGCCCGAGTCCTGATGGGCCATGGGCAACAGAATGTTTCTGAAGGCGCTGTCCTGCTCCCCTTCCAGCGTGAAGATGATGCTCAGACGGGAGATGTAGTGGCTCAGGAAGATCCGATCCCCTTCCGTCTCCAGGCCGTTGATGAGGAAGGGCAGTTGCACGGTGGACAGAGTCATGCTGCTTGCCCGGCGTTGACGGGCTGTGAACCGGGTCAGTTCATCGAAGCCGTGCTGGTATGGCGAAGCTATCCTACCTTCTTCAGCTCTCTCTTTGCCACTCTTCCATATCGTCTTCTCCGGGTAGCCTTCACACTTGACCGAGTTCTTCTCGCAGTTCAGGCCTACGGCACGTTAGCACCACCCCCACCCGAGAGGACACACTTCCTCGACGTCCTCCACCTCCTCCTCAACTTACAGCCAGGTTTCGTCTCGTCACACTTCTTCTTCCTCTTCCGACAGGTTATGCAGCCAGTTTTCGACCTTCCCTTGGACACTTTCGCGAGAGACTCCGGCGTCGGCTTGGGATGTTTCCGCGGGCGACCACGAGGTCTCTTGGCTTGGACCGTCGTGGACGGCGACTCTGGCGGCGCAATGCACTCTTTCACCGCCGGTAACGGCTCGAACTCCGTCATGTCCATATCCACCGCATCGTCTTCTATGGGCTCCAGCTTGGGCACCAGCAACAGCCCATCCTCCTCATCCCAGTTGAAGTCCGCCCGATCCTCTGCCCATTCCTCCACAAAACCCGACGAGCTCCATGGATCCGTCGTCGAGGAGCCGGCTGAAGTCGCCATAGTCAACGCCGAGGCGGAAGAGATCTCGGACCCGTCCATGCTCCTTCTTGAATCTACCAACGACGTCGAAATTTCCATCATGTGAAATGGCTCCGCGTAGGAGGTCTTCTCGATGTGAAGCCGGCGCTGGACGGGGACCCGGGAGTGGAATACGGCGGCGCTTCGTACGGGGTGTCGGGGTACCTCTTCAATGTCCTCTTCGGAACTCGGGGTGTTGATACTGTACGAGGAAATGTTTTGTGCTACCAACATACGGCTCTTCTGTTCCATCTTATCAGATGAGAGCCCTCTTTTTTTTTCCTTTCTTTTCTTCTTTTTTTTGCATTCAACACACGAGCACTAATGGTAGTGAATTACTGTATATCTGTACGTATATCCAGCATCCACATTTGCGAAGCGAGGCGACAAACGGCGGGGGGAAGCGAGAGAGCAGAAGCGAGGGCAAGAAGTCCCGACGTTCCAAGAGAAGGGTCGGGAGCTCACGATATGTATAGTTATTATACGCAAAGGTGGCCCGCTCACTCACTCGCTCCTCACGGCGGAGCAAATCGTTTGATTCAAACCTTCGGGGGGTGGAGGGTGGAGGGTGGAGGGTGGAGGCCCTGGAGGGGGTGGAAGGGGTGGAACCTTGTCAGACAGGGCAGGGTTATAGGGTGACAGCAGCCCCAGCAAAAGGTTCAGCAGGGGCTACAGGTATTAAGGTGTTCAAGTGGCGTTCAGGCCGTGCACGGGGGATGGGGGATGGCCGCCCGAAAATCCCACTGGGTATGCCTTGGTTGGATATGTCTGACTGACTGTCTGTCTGTCGGTCTACCGGTAGTTGTATCTGTGTGTCGGTCTACCGGTATCTGTCTGTCTGACTGTCTGACTGACTATCTGATAGAGAGAATGTTCGGAAGACAAGGCAACGAAGAGAAGCGAGAAGCGAGAAGCGAAAAACAGTATGTACTGTATTGATCCGATCGAAAAAAGAACAGGTCACACTCTTTTCACTCAGGCTTTGGCTGGCTCCGAAAAATGCAGCCTCGAGAAAAGATTCCATGCAATCAATGCAGGTCGCCTAGTCAGGGGAGGCTGCAAGAGATATGGGCTTTACGCAGGCCTTGCATACGCCCGGTGTCGTCCTCTTCTGTCCTCTGTATGGGCCAGCTCTGGTTTTGCTACTTATGCTAGTAGTAGTTGTACTCAAATACTACAACCACTACTACTGTAGTACTACCGCGTCCCTGAATCGTGGCTTAAGGGTAGCTAGCACTGGACCTCTGAGACTCTGACGCCAAAACAGAGTTTCGGTCGGGTCTGGGACACGCGGAGGGGGCCGCAACGGGCATAGGCTGGGTGACCCGGCATAGGTATTACAATAGAAGTATATTTTGTCGTCTTCTCCCTTGCCGTCCGTACAGTCTACAGTACCTTGGCAAGGATGCTGTCCGCTGGCTCTGCCCTTGTCTTGTACTAGTAGTAGTACATACTGTAGTAGTACTACACTTATGGAAATGTGGGGGGAGTAAATAGGGTTTAGCCAGGCCAAGTCACAAATTAGTATGCGGATTCGAGAGTGTGCGTAGCGCGTAGCAAATAGTAATAGTAGTAGTAGGTACGTAGTACATACTGTACTACGTACAACGCAGTAATACTAGTATAAATAAAATCAAAAAAAGGCCAACTGTTCAGCTCTTCTTTTCGTGTTTACCGAGTGCTGAACAGCGGAAGCTGGTTATAGCTGCTTGGAGCGGCGAAGAATGACATTCATTCTCTTGCGATCCCCCCTCCCCCCATTCCGCTCATCACCACCGTATTGTTTTGATAACGGTCGCCGTCCGTTAGAAGGAAGCAAAACGCCTAGCTCAATCGCAGACGGCTACCTACTAGTAGTAGTTTTCCACCCATCTCCTCCCACGTACGGTTACGGCACACATTCTCTCTCCCAGCATCTACTACTACTCCCAACTACTAGTCTAGCCAGCATGCGCCCATCGTTCGCACCTCTCTCCGCCACACCACCCGTTGGCAGCATCTCACCACCCACACCCGAACTCCACCGTCCCCCTCTGGTTGTCAGAGCCGACTTTGTCGTCTTCCGTGTGGCACATCCGCATTATATATTGTCTTGGTTGCTTGTTTTTCCCTCTCTATCTTTTACCGGTATCTTGCTTCGAAGGAGAGACACATTGGGCAAAAGCCAACAAGCAAAAGAGGGAGCTGGGCTCAAACTCAGATCCCCCACTGCCCTTCCCAAACCTGCGACTACTCTGTGTTCCTCACGGTACCCACCCCCTTAGCGGGTCCATGATTCATGCATTTCGCCCTAGGCCCCGGCCTTGTGACCCGAAAGGGAAGAGAGGGGGGCAGGGGCAGGGGCAGCAGAGACGAGGAAA